ACCTGACTTCATCCTCACTTTGATCCCCACAGGTAATAGCACAAGCGAGATTACCAAACCATTTTTATACCATTAAAAAAAATTCGTCAACTATTTACTTTAATGTAGTTACATAACATAATATTAGAAATACTTTTATTTAAAATGATCTTACATTTTTATTTCTACAATATTAATAATATATAATGTATTTCTTGTTATAAATATATAGATTTAAAACAAAATCTAATTATGGATGTTAACAGATATACATATATTGTGTTAATATAATAAGCAGTTGAAGTATGGCATTACATTATTTTAAGGGTATTACATTATCAAACATCACCTACGCAATGAAGGTATTGCGAATCTACCCCTTTAATTCACTTCTCCCTTTTACCCCACTTAACCTTTTCGAACAGAGGTAATATCGACAAAAAACCTACTGCTATTATATATGTACGTGAAAATTTCTAAGGATAAATGGACGTCTGTTAGTCTTTCTCACAGAAACTATTGAATGTATTTGGATGAAATTTGGTACATAGGATATTTTACATAGAAATGCACGTGCAGTTGCCGTAAACTGTTTGTTATACTTATTGGTATATTATATTATTGCCAAATACGTCTTTTTCTTTTCTCGTCTCCTAAAAGTTATCGAAGAGATTGCTTTAGCGATAAGACTGCCTTTTGTTTTTCAAAATTAAATAGGAGTTCCGCCTGCGCTATCGATATATTCTGGTTGGATACTGTTAAGAGATGATAAATGAGGATGAAAGCAAGTTAACGTAACGTGAGGAACGGATTATGAGTAATGAAGAGTAAAGGCTCTATTGCAAGCAATATACCCACCCATGTCGACCTCCACTTGGTCTCCTCTAGATACCAACGTGCTGAATTCCTAGTGTATTCATCACGATGGGCTAACTAACTTGTCTTTCCATCCTCACCTGTCATATCTCACTGGTGTCCTACCAGCGTATACCATTTCATTATCATCCATTAAAAAAAATTAATATATATAATGTTGTTTTGTATTATTCTTCAAGTGATGCAATAAAGAGTAATTGAACAGCTGGTTACAAATAAAACTCCCAAGTTACGAAAGAAACATTTTATTCGATAGTTTTCACTAACAGTGCATTCACAGTTAAAGTTTCTTGGCGAGAAACTATGAAATTATAAAAGAAACGCATTACCCGAAACAGCGTGACACACAAACAGCTCATATAGATAGTGTAATTTTCCACTAATTAGACTTATAGATAGATTCGTGTCTATTCATTTATCTCTATTTATTAAGAAGGCCGTGACTTACGCGAGTACATTATAAACAAAGATGGCGCATAATATTTACATATGCATAAAATGTATCAAAAGATAAAGATTAAAGTCTAAAGATTTGGTAATTATCAAAACAGTGCGATCCTTGTGTAGTTTAATCTGTTCGAAATTGAAGAAAAAAAAACGTTCGGTTAAATCGCTTCTAAATCTAAAATCATTTTGTATTCCGGCATCGTCATTTATTTTCGTCTTTATTAAAATAAAATTATCATATTCATTTATATCCATTGGATGATTCTATTTTTCTCGTCTTTTTGAAATGTTATTATCCATCATCATCGTCATCATCTCAGTCATTATCCATCTAATGCTAAACATAGGTCTTCCTTATAGACTACCATAAAGAACAGTCTTAAGTCACCTGCATCTATTGACTCCTTGAAATACAAATCCTCCTCCTCCTCCTCCTAATGAGGAGTAATAATCCTCCTCGTTCTCCATTTAATGAGGATCGTCCTACACTGCGTTTGCCCGTACGGGATCGCCATTTAAGAACCTTACTTCCCCATAGGTTATCGGTTCTCCGAGCAATGTGACCAGCCCATTGTCACTTCAGTTTGCTTATCCTTCGGACTATGTTGGTCGCTTTAGTTCTTTTATGGATATTTTTATTTAGGATTCTGTCACGCGAAGAAATTCCGAGCATAGTCCTCTCTATGGCTAACTGAGATATTTGAAGCTTTTGTATACTACTATTATTTATTGTATATTATTTTATTATAAATAAGTGTAACATTATTATAAATATATTACGAAAGATTTATTCTCAACAATGTATTTCACGGTGTGTATCTATTATCTGAGTCTGTAATAATAACTTTGTTGGGTTATTGTACCATTGTTTTAGTTAGATAAGCAGCCAAATCCAAGTTTCATCGAGATTACTAACTATTAACACAATGAATGATCAAAAACAATTCTTTAATAAAAACAATCTTATTAGATTTAATCTTAAAGGATAACGATGAATAAGAAAGCTAATGTGGCAATGGGCTAGTCACATAACTCGAAGAACCTATAACGGAAGGGGAAGAAAATTTCTTAAGTGGCGACCCGATCAAACGGAATGTAGGATGATCTCCACTAGATGGAGTGATGTATTGCAGAAGATTAGTGGATGCAGGTGGCTCAGAACTGTCCTATATGACAGTATATGAGAAAGGCGTATGTTCAGCAGTGGACAGACAGCTGTTATAATGATGTTGAAAAAACAATAAAATAAAGGAATAATTTTTCTTTGGAATTCTTACTTGCATTGTGATCAAACCAAAATAAATGTTAATTAGACATCAAATCAGTGATTATTTCTTGTAATTATTCATATTTAAAATAAGTTTACTATTGTAATCTTATGGAGGAAACAATAAAAAGTATCTATCTTATATCTACGAATATCTATCAAATATATGTGTTAACGTAACGTTCATTAGTCGTTCATTTGATGTAATTTCAATTTGATTACAATTCGATTCCATTAAAAGTCAGCCCGCATATTAAATAGACGTCAAAAAACGTCAATTTGACGTGTATGGAACGTCAAAATTGAGCCTGTATTTTTTTAACTAAACTAACTTCAGATCGCACCGATTTGATCAAATCTTCACAATATGAAAATTAGAGAGAGAGCTTAATCTACTGAGTATCTAATATATAGGTACTAATATATATATATTTACCTTTGATGTAACATGAACATGAATAATTCTACATATACACAACAACTTTTCTATTTGTATTAAATTTTAATTAATTTTATAATGCTTATTTTGTAAGTAAACACATAGATATTTTTATACGTGGCATATTTAGTAATATTAGCAATTTTTAAATAACTTTTTGTCTTTTTTTTTTAATTTTTTATTAAAATAACAGTGGATAAAATAAACGAATACACAAAAATACAAATTGCCGTGCGGTCCCAGGTGTGCACAGAATGGACCACACTTTCATTTCCCGTGGATGTCGTAAGCGACTAAAGGTTTAATGGTCGTGGGACGGGCAACAGCGTTCCTCCTAAAATATCACCAAAGATTAACTGCAGTTGCCAATCCGCATGCCAAGCGTAGCAACTGCTGATATACACCTCAATAAGGGGAGGCCTATGTTCGGGAATGGAGGATTGTCATATATATATATATATATATATATATATATATATATATATATATATATATATATATATATATATATATATATATATATATATATATATAATTATATCTAGATATGATCTTGGAAGTATTAAAACATATATATAGATTATAAGTAAGAAGCAATATAATAATTCGAGTAGCACAGAACGAATTTAGTGAGAGAAATATGGAAACATAGCTCTTTCAGTTATATCTACATAATATGATCTTGGAATTGATATAATAACAACATATATATTACAGAGTGGGTAGTCAGTTTGTCCATGCGAAAAGAGATTAAAATTATATGTTCTGTGTAGATATTAAAGAAACTAAGACACGAAAATGAGTCCGAATATTCGAAATTTCATTTCATGGTAGACCCCCTGATTTTAACGCCGACCGACTAGATACAATCTCATTATAACAATGACTAGATGAGAATGCATGTAACCTATGCGATATGTGCCACGAATTCTTAAAGCATAGCATAACGAACCTTACATTAATAAATATTAGGCTTAATTTAATGTTACGCTAACGCTAAATCACAACACTGCAAAATTTAAACAATTTGAAGTGGAATGTACGATGTTGCCATAAATATATTAAAATTCGTTGGTACAAAATGTGGACATAAAGCCGATACATCAAACCATCTGAAATTTACGCCATTCAAACAATTTTGATCGATCAGTTGAACCACAGAGTTGAAAATAGAGCAGCCAAATTAAATAATAATAGTAAATTGAAGCGACTAAGAAATTCACTGCAAATATGTTGGCAACGAGGATACATTTTTATATTCTGGCAACGTAGAGGTACTATATTACAAACTTTTCGCTTTTATCAAGTAGATGCTTACTCCTTAAAAATTCCCACCACCTCTTGTGCTATAATGCGTGTTCTTTTTTATTACAGACTTCCAAACTTTCTTTGACATACTTATTCTCGTATTTTTCTATATAAAATACTTTATAATTTTCATTGTATACTATATATTTTGCATCTATTTCATTACAAAGACGTTACTAAATGGTTTTGGCGCCAAAGTTTGCTTCTTATCATTCAGATAAATATTGACGCTGCAATAGAACTCACGTACCATCTTAACTCTCGCGTTCAACAATAAACATAATTGCATTTACTTGTCTACGGATATCTCCTATCCCATAAAAGCTATATCGGATAATCTGTTATGTAAATACAAAATTCTCAATAAATTAATGTTCAATTTGATATGGATTGATATAATGTTACATTTCTGTACCTTACATATGTAACTATTTATTACATATGTGAAACGTATTACTAAGTGGATAGATTTATATACATACTCAAGTTCGTAATACAATAGATTATATTACGAACTTGAGTATGTAACTAACTTCAACTAATAGGTTTCACTTTAAAGCGATTCTCAAAAGAATCTCAGTTCATCGATATATGTATTTTATGCGATGTTTTCGTCAAGTTTAAATCGATTTTAGTAATTGTCTTTTGCTACTGATACTTTTTTCTACTATAATTTAATTATAATTTTAGAAAATAATCTAGTCGTAATAATGACAGTTCTATCATTCAACTCTGTGATATAAGTGTATTTATATCGAATAAGCCTAAATAAACATCATTCATAATATGTTTATATTATCATTGATTGATGTATCTTTTATATAGATATAGGTACCAATACATTATATTAATATTTATGTATACATAATATATAATATAATACTAAATATAACATGGGTAATTTGGGAATTTAAAATCTAGAGGAATCTACTTATATTTCAGCAATGTTAAAAAATATTATTCATTTACGGTTTAAACAGAATAAACTAAATTTAAATATAAATTGAACTTATTGATAAATGAAAAATAATATTTAACATTTAGTGGTGTTTATATTGATTTATATTACAATAAAAATATAATAATAATAGATTACATCTGAGAAAATTTGAGTTTATATTATTTTAAATAAATAATAAAAATAATACTTTTAGGAAATTAATAATATATTTTTGTTGTAAAATAATATGTTTAATTCCAATTATTAAAGAAAAAACAATTACTAATATAAAAAAAAATCACACAGATGAAAATCAGACAGAATGTATTTAGTAATTAAAAACATTATATCATTCCAATAAGAGAAAAAAAGTATTAGTTCCGATTTGTCAGTAATTCTGATGAAATATCCTAAATATATATTATTTATTTTATATTTATTTCACTAAATTACTAAAGTACGCAGTAAGCACAGTAACTATTTTAGAACTTACGCTTTTTTCGTGTATATCAGAAACATTATATACATAGATTCTTTATTACCATATAAATAATTCACAAAAAATACTTATACTATTAAGTAATTTAATATATTATCCAGTATATTAAGTACTTTATTACATTTACTATTAATTATTTATTCTTTATAAATGTTTTACCAAATTTTCATTTATAAACAATAAATAACAGGAAATAAATTTTTACTTTTTTATAGTATAGCAAAATTACTTCTAACAAGTCATACTTTATCCCGTTTATAATTATATTAAATATATAGTTTCCAATAATAATATAATAATAATGTATATATTAATTTAATTAAATGAAAATAATCAAGCGAAATAATTATATTTTATATATACATATTAGGAAATGTCTTTTATTACTTTATACATATTTACTAAGAGATTTTTTAACTCTATTTTAGCAGCAATATCTTAAAAAAGTTCCCTTAGAAAGAAATTGGTATTTCGCTAATTTTCCTCATAGCACAAGTAATCTTAATTTAGTTTTTAATTTACATTCTGTTCATTAGAAAAATGCGACCACTTCGATTAACTTGGTCGGTTTGTTTTGTTAAGAGAAAAGATTACGCAGAAAGTAATCAGAAAGGATTTACTTTCGTCCGAGTCGAAGAATAATATTTTTTATATCTGCTTTTCTTTCTAAAAGCCTTTCATCAATATTATTGCTAGATATATTTTTAAATCTACAGCGTTCCGTTATAGCTATGTAAGTCGTAATTATCCCAGGTTTCAACTTTATATACATTTCTTATATAACCAATATTGTAAAGCTTCACATAGATCACTATAAATTATCTATAAGAGATTTTGATTCGGTAAGTTTTTTATGAAAGATGATATATTAAGTATGTACATCATATTTGTGGTACCTAGTACAATTAGGAATGCTATATTATTTAAGTTAGCATTTTTTTTTTCATGTATAAAGTATTTGTGTTGTAAGCATGATCTAACTAAATTGAATATGAGATCTGAAACAAGAGAATCTATTGTGTTTTATCGAAATTAAGATTCGTATTTGACTAACGAATAGTATATTTTGTGAGATAATTAAAAAAGAATACTAATAATAACTACCATAAAATAATTACTTAGTTTTTCAGTTATCATACTTTAAACTGGTTTAAATTTAATCTGAATTTAACTAACGTTTATTATTTATAAATATAAAGAAAAAAAGTACCTAATATTTTTAATATACTATAAAAGAAAATATGAGTAAATTTAAGAACCAAATTCAACGAGTCAATAAGTTCAAATAGCTCCTACAGTACGTTTCTCCATACATGATGACACCAAAATCAATATCTAAAATTCCAACGTCATTTTTGTAGTTGGATCAATGTTATTTGGGTAAAGCTTTTCAGTTTCACAAATAGTCGAATTTTAGATTACTATAAACATCCTTATAATAATATTACATTTTGTATATTATAACATCTATCAAGTTTAATTTAGAATCCAGAATTGTCTACACTCTGTCGTATTCTTATTTAAAGAATAAAAAGACATCGCTTGATCTTCTCTCGAGTGTTTTAAAAAATATCTAAAATAAGAGTATTAAACACGAAAAATAAACATTTTGATGAGCAAAGTTTTCAAATCAACAGTTTACAAAGCAATTAAGATAAGTATTTATAATGCCAACGATGTTCCCTCTGACTTTAGGTTCGCAGTTGTGACGAAAAAATTATTAAATCTAAACATCGTCTTTTTGTACCGTCGACTAAGTAGGTTCTTCGCTATCCACTTCACCCGGTTTCGCTTGGCCGATCCCGAAATCTTTTAATGCGTCTTGTATATGTTTCACCTGTCGAGAAAAGTTTTTGCTACAACGACACTGTGGTAATATCGAAAATCCTGTCTTATATTTAAATAATTAATGATTGTGTCCTATAAAAAAATAGACTTCAATTGTTATAAAACCAGTTACTTTGGTTTAAAAATTAAATAATAGAACCGATTTTGATAAAATTTCAATGGGGCTTATCTGTAAGTATATTCTTTTAGATACAGAATTGTCCAAATCGATGTAGAACTGACGAAATTATGAGGTAACAAAGTAAAAAAAAATACACCCAAATTGAGAACCTTCTTCTTTTTGAAGTCGGTTAAAAATAACATTACATTTAATTACATCCCATCCAAATGAAGCGGTGATCAACTCTTCAATTATGTAAACGTAAAAAATTACTTTTTTTAATTCAAATTTTGAATGAATATTTTTGAAAGAAAGAAGCGTTATTAAATTCAATTATTTAGCTCTATATTACATACTAGCAATACTACCTGGCTTTGCACGGTTTTTTTTTAAATAAAATACAGCCAATGTTACTCACTGATAACGTAATTTAAAATCACTTAATGTTCTTTGTGTTTTTCCATACAAACAAAAACCAAAATTTTTAATTCTCTATAAATTAAGATCTTAAGATATTTAGTTAATTTTAAACACATATTTTAAATACACGATCGGGACTTAACGCGATGGATAACCTTTGCAGGTAATTTTTTTTATGCAACTTAGAATGGCAAACAAGCTGACGACCCACCTGATGAAAAGTGGTAACCGTCGCCTATAGACATGAGGAGTACCATGGACATAACAGAGTATACTATTTCGATCATGATACCCCGCATGCGTTGCCATTCCTTAAGAATCAGGTGTTATTCCTCTGTACCCTGTAAATTCACGCCATATCCCACCCTTCAAACCGAAACACAGCCATGCAAACACAACTGCTTCACGGTAGAAACACGAATGGGACAGAGGTGTCCAAGCAAATGACTTTTGTACAAAGTCTCCCTCTGGTAAATAAACGTTGCCAATCAAGAAGCAGATATGTAGGTACCTACAATTTACTTGCAAATATTATTCATCGCGTTAAGTCTTTAATATTTTATATTTTTATTTGAGGTTGTGTATTTAAGTTGTCTAATTTTGAATCCAAACTAATCTTATAAAAAGACAACAAAAAAGATGATTTCACTGTTAGGATTTCAACAATATTTGTTATTTTGTATATGTATGCTAATTTCAGGAAAAACTGACTCACCTGCGACGCCTCAGGGTCTGTACCCGGATGCTTGTACTTGTGTAGGAAGTAACAAGTCCCCGGTATATCCTTAGGGAAGGAATTTGGTAGGCACGATCTATCCCTGGGCTCCATCTCGAATCCCGGGAATTTTATTAACCATCTGCAAGAAAGGTTCGCATTACAAAACTATTTTTATTTAATAATATAAATAAAATAGTATTCGAATCGATTTAAAAATCAGATAATATTTTTTATGAAATTTAATATGGCGGTCGAGCTGACGGCCTACTTGATGGAAAACGTTTACCATCGCATATTGATATACACAGCACCATGAACATCATAAGACACACTGTGATGTCGATGGTACCCGTCATGCATTTCTATTCCTGAAGACTAGTGTAGTACTGTAGTAACTAAAGGAATTGTTATATGAGTTGGGATATGGTATGTTGGGATGGCTTAGATTCATCTTCATGGCAGTTTATGGAGAAGTCTTATAACAATAATGGACAATGAACAGCTGAAATGATGTTGATGATGACAGTATTTAAAATAGGGCAAATTCAAACTTATGATGAATTTTTGTATGATTTAAGGCCTGATATTAATGAGAGTTGTTGTGACATTTTTTTCTGTGATAAAAAAAATAAGAATACAGTATATTTCTACTATGTTTTAACGCCAGAATATCCTTAGAAATGATTAAAGGATCTGCATAATACATCAGTGTGAGAGAAGGAAAATTGATATTAAAAACCTTTACGAAACCGTCTGGCGAGAGTAGTAATAATAGGCCATCCTCCCTTATGGGACGTTAATGGGTTTATAAAATAAGGTACCTTAGTAGATCACATATGTAGGTATAAGTTACGATCTCCATAGTGTGAGGTTCCAGGTTCGATTCCCGGTTGGGATACTTTAGAAAACGAACTTTGTAAATTTGTAAAATTGTGTTGGAAAATTGTTGCCTTAGATATTAATTATATAGTGCCTCATAATAATGGATATTTTAGCCTGATGATCAAGCGAATGGTGTTAATTTAAGTATCTATACGGCTCTTTTTAATACTGATATTGCTTTCATTGTAAAAATATATATTATAGTTTAAATATAAAATATATATATACATGTATATGATTTATATAATATATAGTTTAAATAAAGAGATAGAGGCGTATAAAAATAAACGATTATTACTTTCTGATATGTCTCTCTGTCACAAATAGAATGATTGAGCTCAATCCATTAGAGAAAAAAATATTTGAAATAACAGAAACAGGACAAATCAGTGTTTTCGTTGATATATCGCCAAACGTTTCATTTGATATATGAGGTATTTTAGTTCAGATAATATAAAGTACGGTATGAAGTTTTAATAGCAAATAATAGAATTTATGTATGTAATGTAAAAACAAAACAAAAACTAAACTGCGAAAACAGATATTAATTTTATTTTAATTAAATTTTTGATTAATTTTATTTTACAACAAAAAGAGTTTCGATTAGAAACTCCTTTTGTTATAGAATAAAATCAATTTTTGTTCAAGTAAATAAATAGATAGATAGATAATTTATTTGCATTGCTTACAGCACACAAATAACAATACAAGTATACACATAATACAGACATACACAATAAAAAGAGATAAAAGAATGAAAAACAAAAAAAGCAAAATATATAAAACAATAAGTTTTTTTTTTTTTTTTTATAGAACTTAGAATGGCAAACAAGCTGACGGCCCACCTGATGGAAAGTGGTAATCAACAATAAGTTCCTTCATGCGTGTGCCATACTAACACAAAATGGTCAAACTCAGTTTATTACTTTGTGCTCAAAAGAGCAAAACACTATACAAGCTCTTTTAATTCGTCAGTTTTATTAATCTACTTCTAGGCTTCGCAATATCACCATCTGCTGAGAAGAACTCGCAAGAAACTTAACACTTACTCTTTTTAATATACTTATGTACAAGATAATTTTACGTTTTTGTTACTGTAACTGTAGTTAGAACTAATTTCTATTTATATGTATTATTTAGTTAATTATTAATTGTTACGTTGCACGGTCAATTAATTTTTCTATTATTCCTGTCTACGGTTGACTGGTAAATAACTGTATACGGTATTAAGTCCGCCATTTACACTTTCTTGGTATATTTAATTTTAATAAATAAACATAAAATTTCATAATCATTTATAAATAGTAAATATTAGTAGACTAGTCTCTACAAACATCACTCGTTCACGAGTGTAACGAATAAGTTGGCTGTCATTACGCGCAACCATATTTTAAGCAGCTGAACGACTCGGCTCACCAAGTTATTTTGTTAATCTGGATCTTATAGAAACTTCGCTTTTACTTTCGATAATTTGTGATGGTAATTTGAAATATTTTACGTTTAATAATACTTCATTTATTGCATCATCTTGATATTGACAACTACTACTCTCATACAGGTTCATATACTGCCTGTTTCGAGACTTCACAATACATAAATAATGGTTTTTTTTTATACAACTTAGAATGGCAAACAAGCTGATGGCCCACCTGATGGAAAGTGGTAACCGTCGCCTATAGACATCAGCAGTACTATGGACATAACAGAGTATACTGTTTCGCCCATGATACCCTCCATGCGTTGCCATTCCTGAGGACTCAGATGTTATTTCTCTGTACCCTGTAAATTCACGCCATATACCACCCTTCAAACCGAAACACAGCCATGCAAACACAACTGCTTCACGGTAGAAACACGAATGGACAGAGGTACCTAAGCAATCAACTTTTGTACAAAGTCTCCCTCTGGTTATAAATACATAAATAATAGATAAATTAAAAAAAAACCGCATAAATGGCTACTAAACAAGTGTTACTATAGTGTTCAAGAATATATACAAAATATAAAAATTCGAAATATAAAATAATGACGCATTATAAAAGATTGAATTTTCTGTATTACAATTAATATTTAAAAATTGACATACGAGTAAGTATTTACATTATTACACAATAAAGAATTATTTTGTCATAACTTTTGTAATCACTGTTGCACGTCAGTAAAGACAAAATGTGTGAAACCATTGTAATATTATCATGTCACCTTATTGTACCACATTTTTAGTAAGAAAAGTCATTCATTCATTCTTTCATTAATTCTCTCATTCGGTCATAATTTTTAAAATCCATTCAAGTGAGTAACTTTATTTATAAATTGATATTTAACTTTAATTGTTATAAATTGTATGGGATTTTTTCAAAATAAAAATCGCTACAGTATATAATGTTAAATCGCTATATTCATTTTTAAATATCCATTCAAATCCCGTCACGTCGCAAAATGATGTTACAAAAATGAACACTTTGTAATATTGTGTTTTAATAAATTACAAAGTAAAATACAACAAGAATGGACCGACTCGGGAGGGCTATGGGAGGATCTGTAAGCTTTGAAATTAACAAACGGAGGATTTTCTAACGTTTCACAATGGCGAAGTTTTGACTTACGGCTATTTTCTCCATTTTTATTCTTATTTTTCAAATTAGCAGAAGTATGGCTACAATGCAGGTCACTTCCTTATTTTACCTTTTTGGTGATTTTTTGTCAAATTATGTACATGGATAATATAGTGTAAAATTACCTCTTTAGGTTAAAAAAATTGTAATTATTACTAGATTTGAGATTTATACAATTTTGCCAATAATCAATAATTAATAGAAGAAACGTGAAAATTTGTAATGATAATTGGAAGAATGGATGGACAGATAGTTTTATGCAAAAACTACTTTACGAATTTAAATGAAATTTACGGGAAACTTAGTACATAGGATACTTTACATATTGATTTACGAGGGTGAAGCCGCGGGATAAAGCTAGTTTTACAATATATCTTTGAAAAATAATGTTTTAAGTAGATGTATATAAGTTAAAGTAATAAGTTTGTGTAACTTATTAACAAAATATTCAGCTTCGTTTGCAAGCATCATGTTATTAAAATATTATTCCTTGTAAATGTACATATACATGAAGAGTTAAACTTACTCATAGGTGGTAGGACTGACGTTGATCTTCAATGGTTCAGAGCCGGATTCAAATTTGTTGGCGAGAGTGACGTTGTGCCCAAACAAACAGTACTTGAGCATTGTCTTGCCAACAACACCCGCTAACACTGTCCCAGTGTGCAGACCGATACGCATCTGTTTAAAAAAAGAGTATTATCAAATAACTATTCGGCAAGTGAAGTAGAGTGCCCCGTGGTCCCGTCATAGAATGGACCAAAAATGTTATAAAAAGCGAATAAAGGAATTTAATTTAATAGAGGAGAGATGGACAGTAGAAGAGGGTAGAAGAAACAGAAGAGGACTCTTAAAACATCATCAACTACGGTTGCCAATCCGATTACCAAACGTGACAACTATTGATAAAACCCGCTATAGTGGGAGGCTTATGTTCAGCAGGGGATAGTTAATGGCTTATATGATGATTCAGCAAGAGGTGACAAACTCATATATTGGTAGACATGTTTTCCTTATTAAACACATGAGAAAAAACAAGACTCTGGAAGTTTTTGGTCGTTAAAATTTAGTTGGTACATTTTTTATGCAAATACAAACGGCAACCAAGCTGACAGATCACCTGGTGGAAAGTGGTTATATTAACACCGTAATTATCATAGAATACACTGTCATATACATGGCACTTCTCATACGTTTCTATTTTCGAGGATTAAGACTTTCTGTCTTCATATCCTGTAATATCACTGCCATATTCCACCCTTCAAACCAAAACATTACCATACAAGTACAGCTTTTTGATGGTAGATGCACATGTAGATGACTTTTGTACAAAGTAACAACATTATAAACAATTTCCGTTTAAACTTAATCTTGTTGGTTACTCTGTTTGAGTCACAGATTGCTATTTGTTCTTCTATTACAATTAATTGTTATATATAGGAATATTTTATGTATTTATTTATGCATATATTTATTTATATAATGTATTATGTGTATGTTTATATTAGTCCAATTATGTTTATATTATATGAATATATCAAGTATTTCTTTATTTTTCTTTTATTCAATAATGCACCGCCTACTTATTTCTCAGTTTGTCCAATGGTTGACACCAGTCAACCGTCCGGTATTAAATCCGCCAAATGTACATAGAATTTTACAGTGAATTAAAATTTAAATAAATAAAACAATTTATATCATAAATGGAATAATAGGATTCTGTTTGTTTTTTTTAGGAGACTGTATAAAAGTAGTCTGCTTGGGTATCTCTATGTCCCATTCGTGTTTCCGTCGAGAAAAAAATATTTTTGTATTCGATTTGAAAGGTAGAATATGGTAGCGAAATTATAGACTACACAAGAAATGTATCATCGGCATCACAATGTCTTCTAAGATATTCATGACGCTGTTCATATTTATAGATGGCGGTAGCCGCTTTCCATCAAGTGAGCAGCTTGTATGTCATACTAAATTACATAAAAAATTCTAATTTAATCACACAAAGCTGCGAGTTTTAACTACTAACATTAGTAGGGTTCATCATCGTCATCATCTTACTACCCTTATCTCAGTTACTTGAGGTTGACGTAATTTCTTTTCATTCATATTACACAAAGATTTGGCTTTTGGATTTACGGTCTACCACCTTTATGACAACAACCCACTCTGGAAATATATTTGTTGGTAGTATCTGCTATCTACGGTATGGAGAAAAGGATTGAGAAGGAAGCAGGGCTTTTCGAGCAAAGGAAGTTAGTAAAAAAGGGATAAACTAATATTAATAGGATTGTTATTACTAAATACCTTAATAGGATTTCCCTCATGCGTGAGGTGTTCCGCGCATGTTTCGACCATACGTAGCGCCATCCAAGCAATTTGAGGAGCATGCGTTTCTATTTTCTTATGTAAACCGCTAGCAACGCAGTATGCATCGCCTATCGTTTCCACCTGTTGACAATATAATATTTTAATAATACATTATTATATTAGAAACTATAATGATCAATTTTACATCGAAGAAAGAACTGTAGACGCACATTTATGAGTAAGAGACGAGTTATGAAAGTGCTTTTTGTACTTTAGACATTAAATAGTAAGGACATCCACACAAAAGATGTATGTAAAAATAAAGGCAAATAACACTTGATTTTCTTGGATAAACAATGGTTACGAACAGATATGACATTTAAAATTTTATATCCACATTTCGGTCACCTCGTGAGCCAGGTCGAGATATTTTCTCTTTTTCTCAGTTTCGGCTTGCACGAGGTTCTCGTCATGTGGTATGTTGACACTTTTTATTATTATTATTTTTTACCATTCAAGGAGTTTGAAGAGAAAAAGAGCATATAAACTCAGCACTCACAAAAAACAGTCTATTCACTATTCTCATGGAAATACTTTTACTAGATATGTTGTAAAACTTCAGTCAGATACGAACTACCGCTATTTCAAGTGGTTTCAAAGGACGACGCTTGGGTTCCTAAGGGATTTTGTTTCAAGGCTGACTAAGTAGGTAACACAAATAACGTCTGTATTATGATAACTAAGTTCTGCATTAGATTTAGTTCTTTCGACGAATATTATAGAAGAGAAATTGTTTGTTGGAATTAAGGATCCGGTGAAAATAGTTTTTTTTTTTTTTTACTATTTCTAAAACTGTATTTAAGATGATTAAAATATACTGTTTTAAAAATATTACATCCTATAACACACATATAAAAGCAATCGGGGTCTATTCTGACATTTCTTTAAATACTTTGATAGTTTCGGAAATTATTCTTTTATGGACCATCATAAATTTATAATAATTTTTACAATTTATTAGAAAATTAATTCATTTTGATCTTTACAATAAAGATTTTGCTATGATGTTACATTGAAATTTTAATTTTAGAAATAGGATAAAAGAAATGGTGTATAAGAATCGACCTCATTACTTTAAAATGTTTTATTGCTGTATATAAACGATCTCTATCAGCCTACCTTTGAATAGAGGTAATTTATTACCCACTTAACAAATAAAACATATTTATGTTTCGTGTTCGTATTTACTATAATAAATTATTTTCTAATGAATCAACGTTCGATCGAGTTACTAAATATATAAATATTTAATAACTTGATTGCAATGTATAAAAAATTATTTAGGGAATATGTAAATATCAATATGTTACAGTTAATGTTTACGTCTTATTACTTTTTTGCTATTATCATAATCATCTTCATCATTTTAGCCATTATCCGTCCACTGCTGGACATAGGCCTCCCCCTTAGTTTCCCATAGAAAATGGTCCTGAGACACCTGCATCCACTAACTTCCTGCAATGCATTTGAGGTCGTCACTCCATCTAGTTTTGTTTTGTTCTGAAAAGTTCTTTATTTATCATAAATGATTACAAATATAATAAATTCCAGTGTACATAAGCCTAGAATTTACAATCGACCATAAATCGCTTGGCGAGTAACTCCATCTAGTGGGGAGGGGATCGTCCCATACTGTATTTGCCCGCACGGGGTCGCTACTCAAGAACCTTTCTTCTCCATCGATTGTCGGTTCTTCGAGCTATATGACTAGCCCATTACCACTTTTTACTAGTATATGTATATTGAGCTGTTCACAGCTGAAAATAGATCTTCTTCATAAGGAGAGGTTCTGCCATTAGTAGCTGCCACACTTGGCAGGTGAGCAACCTCAGTCAAGCGTTGATGACATTTTAAAGGACCTCGTTGCCCATGCCTAAATCATTAAGCTTCCTTAGTTGTCTCGTACGACACCTATGGGAAAGGAATTGGCGGCCCATTCTATAACGGCTCTATACGACTTATCTGTGTATAATAGTTATTAGTAAAAACTTTATTGGTTTCTTATTATTTAATGTATTATTTTTATGAGAATTGTACTGTCTGTTTTCCAAATAAAGTAAAATAGAGTAATAACAGTTTACTTGAAAATATTGTGAAATTATAAAATCATTATTATTATTAACATTTATTACTTGTATATGCACTTGAGACATTTTAAAGCAAATCATGATATATCCAAGTATCTCAACTTATATGAAAAAAGATACTTATAAACAAAAAAAGGTTTAAAATTTTTAGTTAAAGGAAATTTTTATTATTTTTATTTTTAATACATAAACTCAAAAAATTCTTAACCAATTTTAAAAAAAAATCTTTCGTTTATAGAAAACTACATTATCATCAACCAAAATGGAGTTAAAGGAAATTTTTATTATTTTTTTTTTCAAAAAACATCCAATTTTAAAAAAAAACCGTGCAAAATGGATTTTTTTTTTCAAAAAACCGTGCGAACTCGGGGCGGTTTCTAGTTTTAAATATACAAATATTTAGTTATCTCGTTTTCTTAATTACATGAAATCTATTGTTACACGCAATAAGCCCATTAAGTTTTGAATACCACGCTTTGTTGTAGTACAGCCATTTGTTTGAATTATACGGTATAATCTTTACATTGTTTCGAAAAGTCTTTCCTGTCCTAAATTATGTGCATTAACATTTTATTACTTAGCAAATAATTATTATGCAGTAATATTTTTATATCTACGTATATTGTTTATATATATATATATATATATATATATATATATATATATATATATATATATATATATATATATATATATATATATATATATATATATATATATGCCCTTGATCTCTCATTTGGTGATAATTTAAGACCATTATCTCTCGATTACGTTCTCTTAGTCGCCTTTTGTCGTAAAAGGTGACGACGACCATTCCTTTTGAAAAGGAAGGGGTTGCCCATTCTATGCTGGAACTCTACAACGAGTAACAAACTATAATCAGGTGTTATTATTATATTTTGCTTCAAATAAATACATAAAAAGAAATTCATTGCCATTAAAATTATATGTAAAAAAATCTTGGAAGCTTTAAAAGGTTGATGCATCATTATTTATTTTCCTCGTATTTATATTTTCCAATCCAACAGAATATATTTCCACTTCATTTTGCCTATCGAATTTTTGACGTGACATGACGCCGTCATTCTGTTTCCGTGTACATAAGTTATTTTTATGGATAAATTCAGAATGGATTTCTTTCGTAGTAAAATCTGAAGAAAAAATACAATCAGACTCCGTAACGTCATAACCTAATAAGCTTTCCGCTTTACCTGTAGACGGCTGAAGCACTAAAGATGACCGGTATTCTATTCAGTCCTTCTAATCCTGGGTCTTAATGGATGATAATGGAATGGTAACTCCGTCTGCGCTATCGGTATACACTGTCGGGGCACCAGTGAGTGGTAATAAGTGAACCAGATCAGGATGGTTTCCAAGGGAAACCGCTCAGTGGTCGACTTGATTATATTGCTAGCAATGGGGATTAACGTCCTTATTACTAACAATCCCCTTCCGCCCTACTAATCCTAGTTGTTACTAATGATAAATAATAGACCTATTGGGAGTAATATACTTACAAAATAAAAAATACAGGGTAAAAATTAAATCATCAGCAGTGCGTAAAATTAACGACGCTTCGAGGAATTTCGAAAATCAAAAATTCTAAAACCATAAAAAAATTTGAGTCTCTTATACTAAATTCAACAACTGACTATACTTTGTTAATATTGGAAGCTCAAAATTTTTTGCCGTCTTTTCACCGATGTTTCTTCGGTGAAAATGTCCGTTTTGCTGGTAGAAACTTTCTTCAAACAAGAAAAAACAATTTCGGATATAAATGTCCTTTAACGACTATTAACAATATCGATAATTTTTTTTCCGTTTTGTCTTTCCTTCTGTCTGAAATGGAAAAATATGCCTATTAAAGAATGGAACGAAGCCCGCTTTCATCACACTCACACGTGCGTGTACATACGTTATTTGTTTACATAGAAGTGACAGCTTGCCGCCGTTTTTATATGAAGTATTTGAAATTTCATTATATGTACCAGAGGGAGACTTTGTACAAAAGTCAATTGCTTGTGTACCTCTGTCCTATTCGTGTTTCTACCGTGAAGAAGTTGTGTTTGCATGGCTGTGTTTCGGTTTGAAGGGTGGGATATGGCGTGAATTTACAGGGTACAGAGGAATGACATCTGAGTTCTTAGGAATGGCAACGCATGGTATCATGGGCAAAACAGTATACTCTGTTATGTCCATGGTACTGCTCATGTCTATAGGCGACGGTTATCACTTTCCATCAGATGGGCCGTCAGCTTGTTTGCCATTCTAAGTTGTATAAAAAAATATATTATGTTCAGCAAGATTCGGATATTTCGGTTTCTAAGTTGTATAAAAAAATATGTTCAGCAAGACAACTCAAAATTTTGGTAGGTGATATAATTAAAAAAAAAATCACAAAACCAAACAATATACATACAGTCCGAAGAATAGGATAAGTATCAGTAAGTATATGTTGAAGAAGAAATAGCCCAAAGAGGCCTATGTTCAGCGGTGGAAAATTAACTGCTTAAATAAGTGTACCTATACAGCGATCATGCATTAAAAATTCTTCAATCTATACACCATTTTATCACAACCTTTGTATCAAGCCTTTGTTCCATTTTCTGAGGCTGATAGGTCTAAAACATTTTTTGCTACATTATACGGCTCATATACAGATTGTAATGAAAATACCTCTAAAAGTTGACTGAGAGAGTGTCATATTGAGTCGATCTTTTACACTGTTTAATTTAATAAATAAATAAATCGTCGCGAAGTAAAAGCATAGAATGGGCCATCCTTTTCTTTCTCGTATATATCATAAGACTAAGGGAATTCAGTGGTCGAGGGATAGGTAGCAGATCCTATTTTAGACATCGCCAAAGCTCAAATCCGTTTGCCAAATTGCTTCTTAAGTGTGATAAATACTAGCAAATCCCTTAATAGGGAGAGAGCCCTTTATTCAGCAGTGGGCAAATAACGGCTGGTATGTTGATGAAATAAATATTATGGTACATTATTCTCACCTTATACACATCCAGCTCTTCACAGAATATGTCAAATACTGAATACAAGTCTTCCAGCATATCGATGACCATCATGGGCGTTGCAGTAGCGCAGATGGATGTGAAACCAACGATGTCGCTGAACAACATTGTGACGTCATCGTGGCTTTTGGCTTCTATCTTCTCACCTTTGGGAAAAGAAAGAGGTTGTTAGTAATGGGTTTTAATTGCTAGCATTGTTAGGGTTTTTACATTTACGCATTTATCGTGATAAATTCTTTTTGTATTCATCATGATAGGCTTACTGACCTAGCTTTATCCTGACCTATCATCCCTCAATAGAGTCCCTCCAAAGTATACTGGTAGCTCAGGTGGGGTTATTCTTTCATTTTCACTTATTAAAAAACGTCGATCACAGATATATGTAGATGAAAACAGACCCAGCCAGTCTGTTCCAATTCAGTTCAAGGGTAAGACAATCATGGTATTAATTAAAGAGAACTTACTGACAATAAACCCTTACCAGTAAAACCCCAGATTACGAGTCTAAATTCGGACGAAACAAAAATAACTGTATATCATTTGCCATTTTTCATCAAGTTTGGTAATTTAATACACAATTAACAAAACAAAATAATCTAAAAGACAGCGATGAGCTTGCTTTGGTAATTTGGCTTAAAAATTTAAATGAATCGATGTGTTTGTTGATGAAATTTAAATAGATTTACACAACAGATAGAATAAATCTTGTATTGATTATGGTGTGTTGTTTTTTTGAATTAAAAACATTAAATAGTATTGTATTAACAAATTACTATCGCTTTATTACCCTCCCACCGCTATTGAAATTTCAGCAAATTCATTTGCAGTAGATACTCATAATTATAAAAAGAATCTTTATTCCAAATTTGACGTCTACGCCGCTGGGATTAGACGTGAAATATATGATCTAAACTGCTGATTTTAGATCATATTATATATTGTTGAATCAGTTTGTTTATCAGTAAGCACTAGTACTTTAAATAAAAGGTTTTTTTTTGATGGGTGAAAATGGTATGGTAACCCCGCCTGCGCTAACGAGATACGCTGGCGGAGCACCAGTGAAGGGTGATTGATGAGAATGAAAACAGGCCAGTTAGCCCATCATGATGAATTCATCAGGAATTAACCATGATGGGAATCTCACTCTCCATTACCAACAATCCCTTTCCCCCCTTTATATAAAAGGTTGATATAAATTTTATATTATATCTTATTATATAAATAATCTATAACTGTACATTTGTTTCATTAAATCCGAAAATACTCCGCTCCTCCTGGACTGCTATAGTATTTATTACTTATACTATTCCTGGATTGCTGAACAAATGAAATGCTTCCGTCGTGTCACAACTAAAACTTGCTTACAACAGCTGTTATCCATCTGCTAGTACCGAGTATTTATATATTTTGGCAACATCGTTCAAAGAAATGACACAGCCTTGAGAAGCTGAAGATAATACAAGTGAAGAGAAATAGACCAAAGGCCTTAATTCAAAGTACTGTTGCTAAAGATTGAGAGATTTCAGTGAATGTATTCATCAATCTTTGCCGTCGTGTCAGCATAGAATAGGCTACCCCCTTTTTTTGTCGTGGGTCTTAAAATATCTCCAAATCCTAACTGCAGTTACTAATCCGCCGGCCAAGCGTAGCAACTACGGGAAAACCTCTCAAGGGCGAAACTTATATTCATCAATAGTGAAAGGCCAATATGATGATGATGATGATCCATCTATGTATTACAACATTATGATGAACGGAGAAAAGCCGTGAAAAGTCAGGACCATCAGAAATTAATGGCCGAAATACAGGGAAATTGTTTACTTTTTTTTTCTGTTTAATTTATATTTACATGCCCAGCCATATATTTAAATTTAAATTTCATTTATCACAAACTCTCGAACAATTAACGTTTGTTCAACGCCCGCTTTGTCCGAGCGTTTTAGGCTTAGCATAGGGGATTTGGCGTTCAGCTTAACGTATTATAGGGACTGTGGTCCAAACTTGTTTGTTGGGTACTGAATATATGTAAAATATCTTGAAGCTTTATGTTAATAAAACATTAGATGAATAATTTTAATGTAGTATTTCGTAACAGTATCTTGTAAAGATAGACTGGATAATAATACTTTTATTCTTCAACAAAGTGTGATTGAAATAGATCTCCTTCATAAAAATCCTCTCATTCATAAAAACTAAAATTGTTTTGTCACTTTTTCAAACTGGAAATTTAACTCAAAAGAAAGAGGCAAAATAGTCCAACAGCAAAATCAGGTTTATAAGAGGTTAGATGTTTATGAATAAGGGAGTAAATATTTTTTTCTCAAACATGCTTGGAAATGTGAGCATTATTTTGACAATCCTCTTCGAGATAAATCAAAATTGCCGTACTGGCTAGATACATGCGGGCAGCGGCCGGCAAAAGTTGTATGAAAATCCATATCTGTCGTATTTTGCGGTCAGATATATTACTATGTAAACACATATCTGTCCTGTAATTTAAAAATGGAATGACCTTTTACACGAAACATGGCTACCAAGGAGGGAACTAACAAAAGTTTTTATTTAAATTTCGAAATGTTTTGCAAATAGAAAGCTGGTTAGTGAAAAAAAAAACAAAGGAACAAGGCGCGTGAAAAATTATTATTGTTCGTTATTCGTCATTGAACTTAAAAAAAAATGAGTTTTTGATTTCTGCGCATTTTTTGAGAAAAGTACTATACAAGCCTTGACCACAACTAGGCATTGATGGACTCACGTATGTGTGCCTCGGCTGCGCCTCGGCCCACATTTGCACGTTCGTCCATCAATGCATATTAAAATTTCTGTTTTGCCAAAGGTTGAAATGAAATGAAAATGCTATATAGTATTAAGTCCGCCTTTTGTACCAGACATTTTTTTTTGTAATGTGGTCAATAAAGCATAAATAAATAAATAAATAAAATGCCCCAGTTGCTGGCCGCTGCAGTAATCTACTATTTCTTTAAAGATCTTTAAAGGCCTCTTTTGAGTATTTATCAGATACATATTCATATAATATGTATGTCCTTACACGTCAAACGATGGGTGAACTCCACACTCGATTGTGAAATATAATAACTGTAACAGATAGCTGTGTCAAATTAAATATAATTGTCAGTGTGTAATCAATGATCGATGATGAAAACACACCGAGAGAGTAATTTGACTATAGAAAGTAATATGTTGTATACGTTAATTTTGAGTTTAGGGCCGTTAAATAGAGCTAAAATATTCACGTTAATATCAAGGTATTCGTTCATAAGAGAACTTAATAAAAACTTGAGATATTTTCTATATACTCCTGTCTGTATACTCCTCATGAATTGTCATTCCTAAGAACTATAGCGTTATGCGTCTATACTTAGTAATCACTATCATATCACACTTTTCAAACTAAAAACATAGCTATACAAGCCCAGCAGCTTCATGGCAGAAATACAGATGAAACAGAGGTACCCGTGCATAAGACTTTTGTAAAAAGTCTTCCTCTGATGAAATGATCAATGATGAAACATGCAACATAGCTTGCAACCATCTCATTAAAAGTTTGTTAACAACATACGTGTTGTTACAGTAATCAACACCGAAAGTTAGTCGGAAATTTAAATTGAGAAAATTTGTTTTCGACTGAGAGACAGATCGGTGGATATGCCCACGTTAGAATAAAAAATAATCTTTGTGTTTCTCTTAAACTAGCGATACGGCGCGGCTTCGTACAAGTAGATAGATTATTATATGATAAATTTTTTTCAAAATTATATATATGTATATAGCCCATATTACACAGTGTTGTAATGTAATTTTCTATAAATGAAATAATTTTTTAAGTCAGTAGAGTTTTACAGTTTATACATTACAAACATATAAATAATCAAATCTTTGAGTGTTGGCAGCACACACATACGTATACTAATGGTAACAGAATTAAATAAAATAATTGTAATCAAATAACCAGCAAATTTTTCCTGTTTTTAATCTATTATTGCATATCTTCTCGGTATTTGTTTTCAATTTTTTATGTATGTTTTTATTTATAATGGCGTGTGGTCTGTATATAAATATATACTTTTCGAAATAATGTAAAGATTCTTAATATAATAATAATAATAATAGAATATTCAAAACTTAATGGGCTTATTGCGTGTAACAATAGATTTCATGTTATTAAGAAAACGAGATAACTAAATATTTGGTATATTTAAAACTAGAACCCGCCCCGACTTATTATATATATATATATATATACATGGTTAAATAAATAATAAATTTACGTCAATTACTGTTCCCTTTTGATTATTTCAACTGACATTTAATGAAATAGCTCTGTACAATACTAAAATAGAATTTCTCTAATTTCTTGAATTATAATTAATCAAAATTGATGGAGAGAGGGTATTCAGTAATTAATTGGAGATCAGGATTCAATATGTCTCCAAACTATGTCTTAGAATGCCGTTCTATTGATTCTAATAGGGATATCTGTAATCGAAATCTCAATTATGAGAATGAGAAATTAAAGGAAATTTAAGATTGTGTAAATACACGTTTGTGTGTGTGTGTGTGTGTGTGTGTGTGTGTGTGTGTGTGTGTGTGTGTTTAGTAATAAATAACTCTACTAACGTATGTAATAATGACGGGACTACACGCATATATACCATACATATTAATATATATAAAATATATAGATAAAGATAGATAGATAGATACTCTTACATAAAAAATACAACCTAATTGAGAACCTACTTCTTTTAGAAGTCGGTTAAAAAACAATCGGAACTCCTTTACACAGTCAGTTAAAAATACGGGTACATAAAAATACAAAAGACGGTCTTATTGCTAGGGCGATCTCTTACAGACAACCTTTGGTTAAAGGAGAACAGATAGAAATGGGCAGGTGGCGCAAGAGTGAATTAATAATTTTTCGTGCATAAAATACAAAAACTTGTAATGCACAATAATATATATATATATATATAATTTATTTGATTATATATATATATATATATATATATATATATATATATATATATGTATATATATATATATATATACATAAATAACATACACATATAAATACATACATAGCACACACAAGGAAATATGACAAATCTAGTCCTTAATTATATAT